ACACACACACACACACACACACACACACACACACACACACACACACACACACACACACACTAATATTGTTTCATGTTTCGTTGACTCGCGTTGTTGATAGTTTGACCAAATTACCTTCAAAAATCTAATGTATAAATATGACTATTTGTTCTTGATAATTGAATATCATGACACTGCAAACAATCATTAAGAAATTAAAAGTGACCACACGGGGCTAGCAAGACCCAAAATTTCTTATGATGGGTGGCATATATGACGACGTCGTATCTGACTAAAATTTCCGTCCTCCGTCCCGGAGACCCTAGTTCTATCTTGTTTATTTACATTCGATGATAAACTCCGTGCGTGTGTTTTATTGCCGCTGTGGAATATGTGCGTATTGCGTATGTGCGCACCCCAATTCTCGAACATAACCAGTTCCAGAGCATCCCACATTCAACAAACATTAGTTCCAGAGACCCCCATTTTCAGGTCTGATTTAGTTCCAGAGCCAGCCATTTTTGACTTTGCAGTGGCACATACCAGGGAGTCTATAATAGACTCCCTGCACATACCTACCATAATGTAGGGTGAGTGCCCCCCACCCCCGAGAGAAGGCTATCCTACAGAGGCAAACACAGCTGTTGTTGAAGAGGTGGTTCAAGGTTCAGTGAAGGTCTGAATATACAGGGACATTCTTAGGGCTTTGTAGGAAAGTCGGATAGACTTATGTGGGAACTTCTCTCTAAGTTTTTGACTATTTTATTAAAACAATCTTATGTTTATCAACCTCCCTTGTTGATCAGCCTGTAAGTGTAATTTAATTAGACCGATTACTATAATCACAAGTACTGTCTGTAATTTAGTCACAGGATGTGGTGCACAAGGTAGAGGACGGAGAATATACATTGTTCATGAGTTAAAAAACATGAACATGTTCAATCTTCATGGTCTACATATACCATAAAAAGCTCGATTGTGTTGCCGAAAGTGACTGTGGCTGACGCTCATAGCGGCTATGTCCCCCAGGGTGCTGCCAGAACGTACCCTGGTAACTATCTGATATGGCAGGGGCGTGTACGGGGGGGGGGTCGCGCAGAAAACGCATCTAAGGGGGTCTAATTTCAAAAAATTTCTGGGGGAGGGCCCCCAGACCCATCCTTCGCGTGCTCGCAAGTTTGGGTTATGGTTAGACCCCCCCCCCCTGGTACAAATCCTGTACACGCCCCTGTATGGTTAGGGTTAGGGTTAAGGAGTAGGCGTAGGCGACTCCCTAGACTCGTTAGGGGAGTAGGCGAGGTACGGTCCGGCATAATATATAGTACCAGGGTACGTTCCGGCAGTACCCTGGGGGACATAGCCGCTATGAGCGTCAGCCACAGTCACTTTCGGCAACACAATCGAGCTTTTTATGGTATATGTAGACCATGAAGATTGAACATGTTCATGTTTTTTA